AGGTGCCTTCGGATATTAAGGACCTATTAACCTTTATTAGGGTGTTGAGTTAACCCCTTTACTCTTTGAGTTAACCGTCTTCCTCTGACGATAAGCTACGGCAGCCCCGCTGCAGTGAGACCACGTCTCGCCAAGACGTCGGAGAGCACTGCGCCTCATCATTGCGTTCTCTAGCTCCCCGAGCTCACGAACACCGATGCATCTCTGACGGCTAACACTTCACCTGCGGCCCACGGCCCAACGCCATCAGCGCCTCGCGCCTCAAGTCCCCGCGAGGTCCCGGACCATTTTGCGCACGCGTGCCTACTCCGAGAGCTACCACACATCTATACTCAGTAGGCGAGTACGGTGTCTGTCGGTCTGTGTGTCTGAACGTCCGTGTGTTCAACGTCTCAGCGCATAAACCTAAGGTGTTGCCTTGGCTACACCACTCTTTTACATGCAATACCACCCATCATGTAGCTTACCCTACCTTCTAAAATGCTCTCAGAAATACATAAATTGCAAATATAGCCCACTAACGGTCACGCTTTTCTGCGACATCCCTATTGGTCAATATTGGTCAATTTAGCGAGCTCCACGGGTTTGGGACCAACCATCCCTACCCACCCGCAAAGCGGGCGGCACTCGTCTAGTACATCCGTGGCCGGGTACAACGCCGCCGACATGGCCCACACTCAATGAACCGCCAACTTGATACGAGCCAAGCTCAAGAGCCATGGGCTTCATGTTCATCCGAACCTTAGGCTCCGACCAACTAGTTCAGTGGTCGAGCGCTCGCTTCAAAAGCGTGAAGCTCGTGGTTCGATTCCACCCTCGAGGACTCAGCCCATATACCTTAACTAAGGTTTTGGACTCACTTGAGCCACGGGTAGCGCCCACATAGCTCAATGGTCGAGCGTTAGCATTCAAAGCCATGGGTCGGTGGTTCGACCCCGTCCGGGACACACCATCTTCGCTGTAACAGCGCAATTCCAGGCTTGGATAATGCTCCTTGAGGAAGTTGCTCCAAAACAAATACGCGTCAATCACGACGCTTGTGCTTGGACCTCGTCCAACACAACACGAAACATCCGCTTCCGTCGGGACCACGTCCCCAACACCACAAGGCAGGTGCCTCCTGCCCCCGCAGCAAGCGTGGATGAGCTGGCCGCTCCAGCCACTGGCCAGCGCCTGAGCTCGGCTACCGACCTGTAGACACCCCGCACTACTGGCGGGAAGAGCTTGACGCTTCGCGACGCAGTCGCGAGCCAATGTTACTCATTGACAGTGGGTGCCAGGTCATAGGCGTCAACAACGTCAGGGCAGTCCTCACGGAGGGGCACTCGAACTCCCATGCGTTCTGTGAATGTGAATATCCTCTCCACTTCACCAAGTACTGGGTACGACCCCGGCGACGACACCGCGCCACAAGGCGTTTCACATTATAGTGGGGCTCACCGAGCTCGTCGAGCTGAGCTGGAGGAGGCCGTGTCTCAGCTGAATTCCAGTGCTGCAGTCAGCACTCGACGGAACGGCGTCTTCGTCCTCACGACGCATGCGTCCGTAACGCGAACGACCACATTCACCGCCAAGCGGGAGGTAACGAAGTGATGTTCCACCCCGTGGACTTTTTGTACGCGCTATTGTCGATTCACAAGCAGGTCTCGGACCCTGAGTACTAAGTCGCTCAGCTATATCTCCAGCTTGACTTGCTCGTGCATCTCAAGCATTTCGCTCCGCGATCTGTGGCTTCGCCACATGCTGTAGGTCAGCTCCCCGTGGTCCCACCACTTGCTGCCCGCAGCAGCACGCGGCCTAGCTGCTCTCTGCCGTTTCGGCGCCAGTGACTCGGCGCTCGCACGAGCCGGGTCCTGGTACGTCTTGAGCAAGCCAACCTAAAACCGGGTGGGTGAGCATCTTCTTTGGGAAAACTTAGCATGTACGCTAGGCTTTTCCTGGCTACGACCTTGAACGGACAATAAACCTAGCTCTCAGTTATGTCTTGAAGACGGCAGACACTGCATGTGTAGGTAGGGTTTTCGCGTTTAATAAAATAAGGTCTCTGGCCTCAAAACTTTCTACATTCCCTCTGCTTCGAGCATCCGCATGCTCCTTTTGCAGGTCTTGGCTCTCACGCGCACCTGGAGCATAACACTAAGTCTCGGCGAGACAAAGTCATCGACTTGTTTGCGTACCACAATAGGGCTGACATCAGCAAGCCGATCTGCTATTCTTCCCGCGCCAAGCCCTGAGCCACCACATGGCGGCCTCAGCGGGACGCGAGGATTCACCAGGCCGTTCACGTAAAACGGGTTGAAACTGGTATTGTTCAACGCAAACGCAACGAATGGGAGCATCTTGCTCCAGAGTTTCGGCGCTTCAGCGCATACGCTATGGAAGATATCCTCCACAATGCGGTTAGCACCATCAGGTCGACCATCGGTCTGCGGATGATCCGCTGTGGACATGTCCAAACGGGTGTCGAGCACCTTAAACAAGGACGTCCAGAACTTCGCGGTGAACGCGGATCTCGATCCGCGACAATTGCCTAAGGCAAGCCATGTTATGCGGAAGACTCTGTCTAGAAACAGCAAAGCTGTACCCTCACCATCGATGGTGTCCGGCACTGCCGCTAAGTGAGCCATCTTGCTCAAGACCACGATACCAGTGTTTCCCGCCTTGTCTTT